AGTGTAAAATTAACTGCTTCCACTGCTAAACATAGGCCTCCTCTAAGTAATGCCACAAAGCACGGTCCTGAGCCACCTGCATCCATCGACTTCCTGCATGTCAAATTAACAATATCCGGTATTTAATCAGCTTCTGTGTGATGTTTTTCTTCTTCTAAACTAAAATTTCCTGTTACATATTAATTTAAAAAATATTTCAGCGAGCTATGAAGAGAGTTATACTCGGAAGTTTTTTAAGTGATAGAATTCTACTGAAGATTTCCGCAGTATTGCCGGAATAACTGACAGTCCAACGGATCAGTAAGCAGAAGTGGCAATGAGAATACTCGTAGCACACGACAACGACAACCGACAGTGGCAGCCTCGTACCGGTAAGCGAAGTGTAAGGCGCCTTCCTAATAGATGGAGTGATGACCTGGTAAGAGACGCAGGAAGGCGATGGATGCAGGTGACTTAGAGAGACCTTTTTTTATAGGATAAGGTTTACAAACGAGCACACAGTCCACATGATGGTAAGTGGTTGCTATGGCCCGTAAACATCTACATCTATCCATAATTACGAATCAAAATGCAGATCTGTTGTCACCCGTGAGGACTAATATGGAATGACTCTCGACTGGAATGGCTGTCGGACCGACACCTCTACTTGAACCACTATCGTAATGAGGGAAAAATCGTGGTAATATTTAGATTATGTGCTAATCTATGTTATAGGTACTGTACTTGGCTATGAGATCGGTATAATATAGAGCAAGGCCGTCGCAATTATAAGTTTATTGTATCCGAACAATTTGGTGTGGTGTGACCAATAAGATGAAGCGGTAAAGCGGAATAAGCGTAGCGGGAATCTAAGTTTAATTTATTAGCGACCCGCCTACCGCCGCCTTTTGTCTAGATAGGATCTATTAATTTTATTTTATAGAATAGGGTGACAAACGAGCACACAGTCCACCTGATGGTAAATTGTTGCGGTGGTCCATAGACTCTAAATCTATCCTCAGATTCGAATCAAAACCAGATGCGTTCTCACCCGTGAGGATTAAGATGGAATGCTTCGTTTCCAGCAAAAAGGGTCTCCAGTTCTCTACACTCAACATACGAAACACAGCAGCGTTAAACTGCTATTTTACACTGGTATTCCGTGAGAGCGTAGTCCTTCCCCGTTCGAGCCGACCCATTCGTGCTACAACAATACTACTAATATGGCTATAGCGTTGTGCTACCGCGTGTGCAGACCTATACTCAGCAACGGATTTGTAATGGAATGTAATGATGAATTAACATTTAATTAAATCGTGATCTAAATGATTTAATGATAAATTATAATATACAATAACTATTTAAAAAAAAAAGAAAAATAACACATAATTAGCTTCAAATAACATGTTTATAATAGTTAACGTTAGCATTGCATATACTTTATACGTGGTAGAGCCACGCTGCAGCTATATTCATGGGCCGGCTCGACCGGGGAAGGACCACGCTCTCACAGAATACCGGCGTAAACTAGCAGCTTAATACTGCTGTGTTTCGTATGGTGAGTGTAGAGATCCGAAGAACCCTTTTTTACTGGAAACGAGGCATTCCATCTCAGTCCTCAGGGGTGACAACGCATCTGCGTTTTGATTCTTAATCGAGGAGAAATGTAGATGTCTATGGGCCACAGCATCCACTTACCATCAGGTGGAATCTGTCCTCGTTTGTCACCCTTATTTTCTTAAATCACGCATTAGTAGACAGAAGTGGCAAGGAGTCGGCCATATAGTTTGAAGAACCGACAACCGATGTGGAGGAAAGGTTCTCAAGTGGCATCCTCGAACCGGTAGACGAAGTGTAAGGCGGTCTCTCACTGGATGGAGTGACGACCGTGGACCATGCTTTGTGACATTCCTTAGGCAAGGCCAAAGTTCAGGCAGTGGACTTGTGACGGGCTGTTTTTATTTTCTACAAAAGAAAGGGTGACAAACCAGCATATAGTCCACACACGCTTGCTGGTATAGCAATCGTCAAACCGCTCATCACTGACTAACAAGGACAGGTTTCAGGTCTCCAGGCTTGTTCAACGTTATGCTAATTTTGGCACAAAATTCACAGATACCGTTGATAGCTTACAGCGACCCTTTACAACCAGGTGGACCATATACTGGGCAATTTCACGGCTCCGTGGCACAGTGGCCTGCAGCGCTGAGAGCCGCGAGTTCGAATCCCGCACGGAATATGTATTTTTATGGCCTACAAATAATTGTTCCGGGTCTAAATGTTTGTCCTTGTGAAATTTATGTAGGTTTAACCTACCGACGTAACGTTTCTTTTAAGATAATATATCGGTTACTGATGGTAGAACACCTTTTTTGTCTAGGAGTTCGTCTTGGTAGGTACCACTGCTTTTTATAGAATATTGGTGACAAACGAGCACAAGTAGGTGCTAAGGCCCATAGACATCTACATCTATCATCGATTAAAAATCTAAATGCAGATGCGTTGTTACCCTTGAGGACTAAGATAAACTAAACGTTACGTGGTAGAGCCATATAGTGTTGTGGTTGTAGCATGAATGGGTCGGCTCGACCGGGGAAGGACCACGCTCGCACAGCACGCCAGCGTGGAATTGCAGCTTGATGCTGCTGTGTTTCGTATGGTAAGTGTAGAGAACCGGAGACCCCCCTTTACTGCAATCGAGACATTCCATCCTAATCCTTAGGGGGAGACAACGTATCTGCATTTAGATTCTTAATCGAGGTTAAATGTAGATGTCTATGGACCACAGCATCCACTTACCATCAGGTGGACTGTACGCTCGTTTGTCACCCTTGTCCTATAAAAAATAAAAAATAATAAGATGAATACTTCGTTACCGGTTCCGGTTCTCTACATACATTCAAAATACAGCAGCATTGTTTTGTTGCTTGACTCTGGTATTCTGCGAAGCGAGGTCCTGACCCGATCCATTCGTGCTTCCTCTTACATAACTCTCCGACTAAATAGCAGTGCTAGCACTGCTCTGTCCCTCTTAATCCACAGAGCTGATAACGCATCTGTAATTTTATTTGTTCGAAGTTTGCTGCAGGTGTTCATAGCCTGCAACAGCCACTTACCATCAGTGGACTGCAAGTCTGTTTGTCACCTCCACTTTAAAATGGTACACGAGCTGATAAGTAAGTACAGTGTTATAGTATAGTATATAGTTATTCAAAATTATTATTTATTGTAATTATTACTGGATGTGGTGCTTTTACTTTGATTGGTTAATTTGATTTCTTTTTGTTTTAGAGTTTATATGTTGTTTAGTTTTTTTTTTCTCTTATAGTGATGTATACACCTGTAAAGACATATCCTTTATCCTATATTTATATTTAATATATATAAAAAATTAGTATTTTGATTGTAACAATGTTTATTAATATTGTCGATGGTGTATCTATCTAAATAAATAATACAGTACTCTCTCGCTAATCCTCTGCTCGATTATCCGACAAGTAGCCCGTACATGTTGCCATCAAAACCGCATGTTAGTAACATTTTCGTTTTTTCATAATATTGGTCTTAAACCTCTTTTCCTTTAAAGCAGATATGTGTGTGTTGTAATATGTGTGCCCTAATCCTTTCTTATTGCAACGAATCTACGTTTATACAGTTATACTTATTTGTGTTTTTATTACTTAACCTTAACATGTTCCCGCGGCACTGATTTATCTGTACTTTCCATTACTGCGTTACGAGACGTTTGAAACCTCGTTCTGAACCAGAGGTTGTAGCGGCACGAGGCTTAAAAAACCCCACAGCCCACATGAGACAAAAATCCTTTTTTTTAGCGCCAAATAAGGCGAATTGTGTGGTTTTTGTCGCGATTATCATTAAGAATGAGTTGATTAACCTAAATCTGCCGCCGCCTGTGGGCGGATTATTTAGTTTAGATTCTGTAGGTAAAATAAAATGTGGGGTCTTATGTTCCCCATACCGCATTGAAAAAGGGCAGTTTTTCATATTGTTTAGTGATGGGAAAAAATATCGATTTTATTTAATTGTACTTATGGATGCTTTTTATTAAAACGGGGCAAACAATAATATTTTTTGCAACCGACACATTCTGTGAGAATTTTCTTTGCTATTTTGTCAGCCTCACGACTTGATTATAAGGTGCGAAGTTTTTCGTAGCATCCTACACATCTCATTTTCTTTGATCCTTTTTCAAGATGATGTGGATTGCTTGGAGCGTGTTCTGAAAAAAAAAACTGATAGTGTATTTTTGAAGCGGGTTGATTAGGTGTAGCGATTTATTGGAGCATTTCTATACATAAGTATGAGATCGTTACGGCCTGTGTGTGTTTTGCTTTTGTCAGTTATATTCCTACATAATTATTTCACTTAGACTGAGTGTAATTTGTAAATATTGATTGGAAACTTACCTGTTTTTCAAATATCGTTAATTTAGAATTAGATTTACCACCCAATTCCTCTTCATCATCAATAATATTATTAATTAACTTTCTTCGGCAACGTTTCGACATCTTATTATATCGTCGCGGGTGCAGCGTTCAACGTTTTGCACAACACTAACCGCGTAAAGCTAGCGTAGGGTGCGGTACGAGGTGTGCGGGGTACGAGGTGTTCGCAACCTCGTAACGCACTGTTTTAAACTTTAATTTATTCAGTGCGGTACGAGGCCTAAAAAATCCGGTATTAAGGTAGATATACCAAAAAACTCGGCATCAATAGCACATCTCAGATATATAGTTATCTCTTTCCTAGACTGAAGTAAACGGAAGTTACGCCTCTCGCACGACAGAGAAGTTTAAGTTTTTCCTTACCGCTATAACGACGAAACACGGACGAGGTGTTTCAAGCCTCGTTTCGCAGTCAACGTGTTAAAAGGTCAGTTTTGGCGTTGGGGCTAAAAGTGACATTTGCTCGGGGCAGGTTCTTCCTTGTTACTACCTACCCCGTAGTGCTGCTTGCCGACTGATGTATTTGGAGCTACATAATTTGTAGGTTTTTGGAGAATGAGGACGTATAAAAGAAAAACTGAGTGTGGAAAAATATCTAAAGAGATTTACGAAAAAGCAGCAGCTATTTTGGAAAAGGATAAAACCAAAAAAAATCGTGGCATCGCAAAAGATCTTGGATTATGTCATAAGTCGCTAACAAGATATTTGAAGAAACGAAAAGAAGTAAAAGAGAAGGGCACGCCTATAGAATCAGGCTCACAGTTGGCTACCAGAAGAATAGACAAGTTTTCAACGATGAACAAGAGGGCATTTTGATGAGTTATTTGATTAAAAGCAGCCAAATTTACGACGGATTGACGCCAAAAAATGTCAGGCAACTAGCATTTGCCAGCGCACTTAAGTACAATATTAAATCATGGCTATATCTTATTTTCATGGCATAATCATGGCTTGACAATAAAGAAGCATCAGTTGAGTGGTTGACAGCGTTTTTTAAAACAGAACCAGTTTTTGTCTGTAAGATCACTGAAAAACTAACGACGATAAGTTTTTTTTTTCTAAACCGGCAGACGTGTCGGGCAGATGTGAGTTTTCTCTGTCACGCATATGGAATGTAGATGAGACTGGCGTGACAACGTTGCAGTAACTTAGAAAAATTTTGGCTCCAAAAGGGTCCAAACGGGTTGGTTCAATTACATCAGCGGAGAGAGGGATTCTCGTCACTCTCTGCGTAGCACTCAGCAAATGCAGTGGCAAACTCGATACCATGTATGTTTATCTTGGGTAAAAACGGCTAAAGAAACAAGGAAGATTTCTGTGAAAAGAAAGGTTTTACATAACTCAGACTCTGACAAAGTCATGTAAAACCTCTAAAGACTCTGACTCTGACAAAAGAAGTGTAGATGATTATTTTTGCCTGATATGTTGTGAACCGTTTGATCAGAGTCGAGCTGGTGAGGAATGGGTACAGTGTGTTTTTTTCTAATGGTCACGTAAGATGTGTTAAGGGAAATATTTTATCCTAATCCTTTTAACATAATATGTAATGTTAGAATTGTGTGATTGTCGAGACTATAGTTACTAAACTATTTTTTAGCTTTCAGGGTCTGATTGTTTTTTAAATAGAGACTTTATTTATTTTTTTGCTAATGTAAATTTTTTTATTTAATTTTTTTCATGTTCAATTTATACTTAGCTTTTGTTTAATAAAGAAATTTATAATTTTCTGCCGGTTGGAAGTTTTTTATTTAGAATTTTATTTTTATGAGACGTAAGTCAAAAAAATAAGACTATAATTTTGTTCAACGAAGTTACTATGTTTTTATTTTAATGAGGCAAAAGACTGTTATATAGAAAATGTAGTTTGACATTGTATACATAGTAATTGTTATAAAGTGTCATTGTTCTTAATAAAAAGTGTTCTTAATACAAATTACGTTTGTTTTTTGTTGTAACATTTTGCCCCTTATAGTGTAACAACCAGCCCCTGGCGCGGGCCTAAAAGTTACACGCCTCTTTTCCCAGAATTCATTAATTTATGTCACTTCTAATCAATGACGTATTAATATATAGACACGTCATGAACGAACATCGCGGCGCTTAAAAACGGCGAAAATACTAGAACTACTTATACGCGTGAAGAAAGAGAAAGAAAATATGACACCGTACGGCGGGATGCCTGTTGCTAGAGGGAGATAAATAACATCTTCAGTTGCTCATTGCTCGAGCGCAGGAGTGACGTAGCTATCAGAGGTATAGGGGGAAAAAAGGACATTCGATTTTCTAGAGTTTATAAAATAATTGATATACCATATAACGTATGACCTACTTTACGTATATAAAGTAATAAAAATATTAATCTTTAAAATATGAATGCTGTATTCCGCAACAGTAATTAATTAATTATTGTTACATATTAAATTAAAAAATAAAACAAAATATCTTTATAAACATAAAAAAAACTTTTATTTAATAATGAAAAAAACAATAACATTCTGATAGGCAATCGAAGTCGTATATTATCGACTTACGTTGCAGATACATATTTTTAAATCCCTTCAAACAAATTTAATTTATTTATTTTTTGCCCCTTATAATTTGATTCAGAGCTTTTGTGTGCGAAATATAGGCGAACATTGATAAATTTCTCAATGACCGCGCGAATAAGGTGCACTCTATTATCAAATGTGGTATGTTGCTCTAAAGAATGTTGATGTAAAAAACCAAATACGTCATTGGAGCCGATAAACGACTTTAAAATACGGTTTTTTAAAATTTGGATATCTTTGTGATCGGGAAGGATAATGTGTACCACTTCCCTATGACACGAGGATGTGGTAAAGATACATTAAATATCTGTCTTACATATTTGTAGGCAGCAACGGAATAATAGTGCAGGGTGACTTCAAATTTTCTTAACGCTGGGGTATATTTTTGACGATAGCCCATAATCTTGCTCTTTTGAGTCAGTCTATTTATAAATTCTACTGTTTCGGCTTTAAGATTCAGTTCATTGATCTGGTCAACAGTAAAAAAAAATTTTTTGGAGCTCAGAAACTAATTGTTTTAAGTTATTGCATTTTTCTTTTAGCCTTTTACTTTTTTTACTAAATTATAATTCTTAAACTGTAACTTGCGTTTTTCTAAGGAAAGTTTACTAATCTTTTTCTTCAAAATAGCTTTCCTTGGCGTTTCAAAAATTGAACCTTCTTCTGACACTTGAACATGTTCCAAACTTGTTGATGATAAAATAATATTTTGTTCTTCTTGCTAAAAAAAAAGTATAAAAAAAATCCGGTTATTTCATGAAAACCCATACATAATGTGTTTAAAAATGACGTATAATTTTACCATAATAATAGGAACTGCAGTCTGTTTTATTGTTCGATAATTTTTCTTCGTCACATATATATCGCTAGCTGAGAAAAACATTAGTATAGGGCGTTGGTAGCCAATCGTTTTCACATCTTTGAACCCTTATCATGTTAAGCCACTTTTCTTTTAGTAGCCCATCTCTAGGCAATCTAAAATAAAAAGGAAAACGATAATTAATATTCATGACATAACAAGTACATATTATATTCAAACAATATTATAAATTCTATCAAAAAAAAAAACACTAGTGTAATAGTATCCCAACCTCCCCTAACGGCACGTGACTACTACTAGCTGCATGCGCCGGCCGCCATTAGACGGCGTCGTCGAATAAAATGAAATGAAAATAGGTAGTTTTGTGAACTTACGCATGAAATGACACATTTTTGTCTTTAACTTTTGGGATATAATTTGTACATCGTCTAAAAACACACGACGGCATGTTTTCTTTATGTTTTGCCACATATTTACAGACACGAATCACGATATAATGAATTAAAAACAAACGTAGCGTCGCGCGACAGGTTGGTGCGTGACTAAGCGCGATGTGGCCAATTGGCTTCATTTCATGTTGCCATTTTAGAGTGCGGACAACGTATCTATAGATTTATACATCATTGCTTCTAATAGTCTAGAAGCGAAAATTGTTTTTAAATTGATAACCCGAATAATTACTTAATCAAACAAACCTACATTCCGGTAAAACAATCAAACAAACAGAAAATTGCAACACTTTATAAAAAAAATTCACAACCAGCCCCAGTCTCCCCTACTGTAATCTGCCGTTTTTTGGACGGGAGATTAGTCTTAATTATTAGAGATGGGCCGAGTATTCGTTTTATATTCGGTATTCGGCATATTCGGCAGCTTTACCGAATATTCGTATTCGGCCGAATATTCGGCTAAATCACCGAACATTCGTTTTCATAGTGTCCAATGTATTGAAATGTACGAAATGAGTAATGCGATGTCTTTTACTGACGAAAGTATATTTTATTTATGGGTTAAATCTACTTACTCTAGAGTGCCTCAAATGCATAACTCTATACATTTATGTTCTTGAGGAACTGTAGCTTTAGTTCCGATTATGGCAAATAAAAACTTGATAAAAGTTTTTTAGAATCAAACAAAGAAACATTACATTACATTAGTACATTTCACTTTACTTTGGTCATTAGTTTCTCTAAAATAAGTCCAAATAGTAAATCTCCTGCCACTTATTTTTATCATATAATTATCAATTTTCACTAAGAATAAAACAACGAAATACTTTTTTTATCACAAGAATAGTCAAAACAAGCATATGCCGGCAATTTGCCCAGTAGTAGATGATGCAATAACCGTCAGGAGGAGCGGGGAGCGCGAGGCAGAGTCCAGCGCTAATCCCGCGCGCTTTACGGTAACAAGTTTCGACATAAATTGGTTGGGTCCCGAGTAGAGTTGCACCGATTAGTACTTTGGCCGATTGACCGATTAGCCGTTTAATCGGCCCAGCTGATCCCTATCCGATGACAAATTCAAATGGTGGAACAAATTTTTTTCAAAATGTTATTCAGAAATGTCCCGTTTAGCCAAAGTTTTCCTTAGCTACCCAGTCAGCTCTGTGTATAGTGGGAGACTTTTTTCTGAGGCAGGGAATATCTAGTATCTACGAAGCAAAAAGCAATCGACTTCAATCAGAAAAGGCTGCGATTTTGGCCATTTTGCATCACAATTTGCCACTGGTTAAAAATAACAAATAAATTAAATATTTTTCAAAAAGCCTTCAATACTTTTCAAATTGAGCATTTCTTTTTAACAAATTATTGGATGATTATAGATTCTTTATTTAATAACATTACAGGAAAAAAACAATTTATTGTAATTTTAAGTACAAAAAAATAACAATTTGATTTAATTTTTAGTACAAAAACAATAACAATTCAGTTTCAAGTACAGAAACAAGTATGTTCTATTTGTCTTTTAAAAATCTATATGCGTGTAGTTTAACAAACTTTATTCAAGAATAAAGTTTTTTTTTTGTTATACAAAGGGAGAGGCTTAATTTGATGTTCTTAAATGTTTATTAAGTATAATATTATTAATATTTTATTTTGTATCACTCACACTGCATTACGATTAGAAAAAGTAATAAGTAGTATTAAAACAGTAAGTATTTAGGTTTTTGTCTAGTTTTAAATAGCTACCTCGGATTCTATTTTTTTACAAAAGTTCCTATGTCCAGAATAATTAACATTAAAATATGTGAGACTGATTTTTCAACAAAAATTAAGTGTGAACTTACTTATTTTATTATTTATTTGATTTACCTACATATAAATCTGACGTGAGTTTACGCATGGGAGAGAAACTATACTTTCTTAAATTTAAAGCTTTACTCATATCGATGTAGCCGCAGTTACCACGCAGAAAATCACGAAAAACTTTTGCTGAAACTAATA